AAACAATTCAAAAGCTATATTACCAATGTAATTTTAAAAACCATAATAAAAGGCAATTAGTAATTTTTTTCTTTTTTAATTTACAGAAAAAATACCAGAATTCAAACTTTGAATTCTAATATTTATTACTTGAGAAAAGTTAAAAGGGACAAAAGAATCAAAAAAAGTTCATCCTGAGGAAACTTAAATAATAGGAAGGTAGGGAATAAGTAAAGTTGAAGTTAACTTATCTCATGCAAGACTCTCATGGACTTTTTCTATCTGATATAAAGAAATGAATTTAGAGCTCCCTGGTAATATTACCCCACCCATGGGTCCCTAAAGTAGGAATCAGGGAATAGTTTATAAAATCAATTATAAAGCACTTTTAGCTCAGTGCAGTTTGAGAAAGATTTTAAAAGAATATAAATTAGCAGTATTCATAAATATTTCTTTTCTAGCCTAGACCAACGAGGTTCCACTTACCTAGGGGTCTTTAGTATACTATTCATTCATTTATTCATTCATTCATTCAGCTCTGCACAATATACCAAAGAATGCACTGTGAAGAATACAAACATAGTACAAAAAGGTGCCATGACAGAAGTATAAATAAAATATTATTTATGCAGGAAGGACCAAGAAAGCTTTAAGGAATACATGGATTGAATTTAGGTATAGGAAAACTAGAAAGCAGGGAGGAAGGAAAGAACTCTAGGTAGAAGGATCAGTGTAAGCAATGACAGAGGCCAATACAGGGACTTACAAGAAGGAATTGACTGGATTGAAATTTATTGATCAGAAATTAAATGATCAAAATAACCCATCTGGAATCAGACTGTTAAAGCCTTGAGAACCAGCATAAGGGATTTGAACTTTATTCTGCATACACTACAGTTTATGAATAAGGGGAGATAAAGAATGAAAGGTTTAAATTAGGAATATTAATCTCATGTAATAATTAAAATATAGAGTAAGAAAAAACAGAGTTAAGAAAACTGCCGGGTTTAATTATAGAAACAGTTTATCAGACAGAAATAATTACAAAAACTCACCATCAACCCAAATTGTAGTAGAGGTAAGGCATATTTAAAAAAAAGAGACAGAGACAGACAGACAGATCTCACCCACCCTAATGCTCAACATATATTTTCCAAAGTAAACATGAGATGAGAACTATGATTCTACATTCCCTCAGTCTCAATTCCCATATACCTCTCACAGCATGGGCATCACAATTCTAGTATTAAAGATATATTTTCATATAACATGTCCCCTAATCCTAAGTAAACCACTTCATCAGTGCTCCATCAAAGAAAATAATAATCTGCTCTAACACTGGAAGAAAAAATGACTGTTAGACTTGATGAAAGACAATACTATATTGTACTTTATGTGCTATTTTAGAAACTCTTGAAAATAATTTTAGCCCAATTTTTGCCTCACATACTAACTTCAGAATGTAACCCCTGCTAATGCCTTTTCTCTTTCTCATCTTAGGCATATCAAGCATATTGGAGATAGCGAAACAGTGGTTTAGTCCAAAACAATTATTTGAGAGCAGAAAATTTCCTAAAAATAGAGAAATGTATCAGGAAGCTAAAACCAAGCAAACAAAAACAAAATCTCTGAGGTTGGGTAAGGTTACAAAGTACAAGACGCCTGTCCTCCATGGAACTCAGGTATGAAAATGATAATAATCAGGCTGGAGAGCAATTACGAAGGTCTTATGAGCATATTTTTTTCCCCAGCAACCATTAAAATCCATTTTCCCTATTTATTAAAATATCTTTTATATCAGATTAACATTTGCTAAAAACTAGACTAACACATTTTTCTGCAATATAAATGTTTTCACTTTTATAGTACAAACTTGTGGTTTTTTGCCTAATAAAGTATTTCCAATTCACATGTCTGTCCAATACCTACTGAGCACCTACTATGTGCCAGGTACTGTGCTAGATGTTGGAAGTACAGAATTAAAATGTAATTCTGGTTCTCTTTAAGGAGTTTATAATCTAATAAGGAAGACACACTAAATTAGTATAATCACATTGTAATCAAAGTATATACAGGATACCATAAAAGCAAAAAAGGGGGTCAGGAAATGCTTTCTTGAAGATGTATTAAGATGAATTTGAAAGGTTAGGTGAAAGTTAAAGCTGTACTTCCTAAATTTGATTGTGCATCAGAACCACATATAGAGCTAATGAATGGGGCTCACTTCAGATTTAGTAAATTAGAATCTCCAGAGGTGAAGCTGGGAAATCAGTATTTTCAACATGTACAAGTGATTCAGAATCACAGCCAGGTTTAGGTAGCACTGAGCTAGAAGTATAGGCAACCATTCCAGGCAGAGAGAATAACTTAGTGTGGTTGGAGTGTGTAAAATACAGACAGAAGATCAGAAAAAAATGAGAACAAGAGCAGTAATGTAACTAATGTGACATTTCAAAAGGGATCTATGGAATTGACGTGAACTTCCAAAAAGACAATCACGTGTGACATATAGTTTAGTAAATGATTTGTGACATGAACTAATAATTTCTTATTGAAACATTTAGGAAAATTACATTCAAGATAAAAGTAAGATGCTCCTTTAAAAAAGGAAACAATTTTTTTTAAAACCAGAGCTCTACCCATATTTGTTATTAAATGTAGTGACCAATCATTTTTCTCAGGATACATATCTGGAATATGACAGAAGTTATGATAATGCTATCTTAGCTTAAAAATGTTCCATAATGTATAAAATAAATTCAAACTATATTTTGAAATTCAAGCTTTAAAACTGAAAACTAATCTTAATTTTAAGTTTCAAAATTGTTATTTCATAATAATTTTTTACTTTCTGAATAAAAACTAATACTTATATTTTTATACTTAATTCTAAGTAGGAATAAAGTGGGACAAGTCACCAACAAGAGGAATATTAACCATATTAAGCTAAAAAAAACAGAATCTTTTCTTTGATTTTGTTTATGAAATAACAAATGATTTAAATCATCAACTGTTTAAATCCCCAATTAATTCCCCAACAAAGACTTTATAAACAGATGTACTCTAGAAATCATTTAAAACAAGAATAAGCTTTTAAAGAACATTCTTCAGAAACCTACGGACAAATCTACTAATTATAATATATAAAATACATCCAATAGTTATAGTCTAGTTCTAAAAAGTCCATCTAAATCTTACTTAAACTATTTAAACATTTCCTAATAACTTAAAGATCAAAGTAGCTCTCTGGAGGAAAACATAGAGTATAGAATCAATGACAGTTAAAAACCAAAGGATTAACCATATAGACCTATTTGAGGAGAACCAACTGATAAATTATAATAATTGGCTAATCAAAAGAATAATATCTGTATCGTTGATATAACAAACCATCCTTTCTTAGACTTAATTTAATATATTTTTTAAAAATGGTAGTATTATTGAGTTGCCTTAATTTCTATTTGAAATACAGGAATTATAGTTCTTGTCAGTTCTCAGGCTAAAATGATCATTTTACACAGAATATAAGTTTGTTTCCTAAATCATTCACTGCTGCCTTTCTGCTCCTGCAGCACTTTATACATATCTCTATTTACTGTTTATTGCAAGTACCCGAATCCTGCAAAGAAGGTATTATTATCACAATGTAATAGCTAAGAAAACAGGCTAAGTATGACCAAGTACCTTAACCAAAATCACCACTAAATCCGGATTTCAAACTCAGATCTGTTTGACTGCAAAGCTCTCTCTACACTATCTCAAAGGTAGAGAGGAACATAGGACTAAATACATCTAACCTAAACACTAAATTGACTGCAGTTTCTTCTATAACTGCTTTGGTAGTATAAAAATAGATCTATGGTATCTGGCAAACCAAAGGACATGTATCTGGGGGTGAAGGTGTGGAGGTTCTGCTTAGTACCTGAATTCCCTCAAGTAATGAGGAAATAACTCGCTTTGAGTCTTCATAGAAAGCTGGGCCCACTTCCCTATTTGGAAGCTAGCAATGCCATATAGTTCTTCTTCCTGTCACTACCCCAACCTCCCCCCACCACAGCAGGGCACTTAATCTATGCTCTGCCAATATGACAACCCATCAAGGGCTCTAAATTAAGAACTAGAGACAATAAGAAGCTGGGCCAGCAAAGATTGGATTTGGGCAGCAGGCAGCAGTACCAACATTAAGTTTCCAAAGACAACTCATGGATGTGGACAATAAACTTAATGGTTACCAGAGAGTAGGGGGAGGGAGGGAGGTAGATAGGATAAAAGGGTCAAATATGTGGTGACAGAAAGAAGTCTAACTGTGGGCGGTGAACACAAAATGCAATATATATATATATATACAAATATATATATATATTTATCTTACTGTTATATTGTACACCTGAAACTTACTGAATTTCGTTAACCAATGTCACCATAATAAAAATAAATTAAAAAAGAAAAATTCCAAAGGCAACAGTAGCAGCTATGCAATACCCGACAGCTATGCAACACCTGACAGCTATGCAGTACCTGACAGTCTAGCCTTCAGCAATTCACAACTGCTTTATTGTCACTGGACTGGTTTTATGCCATGATTTTTACATATGTCTTCCCTGCTACGTAGTCTTCCTTGCTCCTGACTACTTAAAGCTACAGACTTCCCATCAATTTGGTATACTAATCAATATGCTTTCCATAAATTCTTTTTCTATTTGAATCAGTCAGAATTGTCTTCTGTTGTCTGCCATTAAAAACACAGACTGAGGCATTTAATGATTAAATAATTGATACGAAAAAATTATACTTATCAAATCTTTTTACCTTAGTGTTGATTAATGTTTTATAAAATTTGCCACTATGGCCTTAAATAACAGCTGCTTTATACACAATGGTATGTTTTAACAACAATAAAAAAAAATTTCAAATCAGGTTTCCTTATCTTTTTCAAAAGCAACACAAACAAACAAATATAATAACAATCATTTAAGGGTGACTTTTGAGATTCAGAGTTAAGCTTTATTAAGAATTCTTACCTGTCAGGAATACCTAGCCTCTTCACACTTCTATAAACAGAAAGAGTATTTGCAACATGTCGATAATTAAACCAGAATCGGGATGTACACACCTGAAGTATTAAAACAAATATATTACTTTTATGAATCAAGATAAGCCACAAAGTTACAGAATTATTTCTTTTTAGATGCCCAAAGAAAGAGTTTACCATAATTCAGGCTTAGAAACAGTAAAGAACATAAAGAATTGTCCATAAAACCAATCTCTCTAGAGGAAGTCTTTCATAACTAGTATTAAATAAAAAGACCATTCAGCTTAAGAGAAAACAAACCTTTGAGGAATTCAATCAAATACTGAATCAATTTATTTACTTTCAATTTATGTGTTTCTATAATGTTCCTGTTTTCTAAAAGATTAAATTCTTTAAAATCAAAGACAATGCCCATAATCTCTTCACAGAAAAGAAAATTAGCTACCTTGGGTTATATAATATTCCTTTCACTCTGGATTGCTTACTAATTTCAGTTGTGAAAAATGTAAAATAAAGACTAAAACATAACATACAAAACAGTTTTATATGTACATAAGAGATGCATTATAAAGAAGCTGTTGAACTGAGTAGAAAACTAAAAACATTTCAAACTAGTTTTACACTTAACAAAAAGAAACTTCACCATAATGTTCTGCAATTATTTTTCTATATTTGACATAGAGAATAAAAGTTCTAAAATGACACAAAATGGAATTTAAAAAAACATTCCTAAAAATGATATCAAAGGTACTTGGAAAATCTAACACCAGGCCTCAAAAGTCAGCCCTCTTAACTATTTACCCACCAAGTACCCTCCTATCCCCTATCACTTACCTCTGTGAATAGTAAGTATAATGACAGTATTGAGAATAACATAAATGTTCTTGCCCCTACAAATAGAAAGGAACTACAAGATTTTTAATTAAAATGACTTTTCAACCTGGACTCCAAAAGGAAAAGACTAAAATTTCTGACTACATAAAATGTAAACTCCTTATGTGAAAAATACCACAAAATCCTAACCAAAATGAAAAACTTAAAATAACTATAAGGAAAAGATGAACTCAATTTTTAAAAATGAGCAAAGGATGAGAGCAAGCATTTCATAACAAGAGTATTAAAAATGGGCAATAAAACTCTTAAAGATGTTCAACTTCTGTCATAATTTAAAAACAAAATCAAATTGATAAGTATCCAAAAGTCTGACAATTCATAGTATTGGCAAGAATGTAGAGGAATGAATACCCATATCCTTCTGATGGGAATGTAAACTAATATAAACCTTCTAAGAGGGTAATATGCAACTTACATCAAGTTTGAAAACGTCCTTATCTTTTGATTTAGCTCATCTAAGTATGCAAAAATATGTATTCAAGGATTTTCACTATAACATGGCCTGTATTAGCAAAAATTAAAACCAAAGCTAGAAACAAAATCGCTATCCATCAGCAAAGAATCTACAGGTTCCCTAACTTGAGCAGAAATTTATAAACTTGAGCAGTATAATTAAACTTGAGCAGTATAACTGATATCTGAATTAGTCATAATAAAAACCAGTATATTCAGTGCATTTTACTATACACAAAAGGCTTTTGTCATCTATTATAATACTTAATTAGCATAAACCTAAGAAACTGCCCTCATTTTCACCAGCAATTTACAAAACAAAACTAAGGTGGAAAAAAAGAGACAAGGAAATACCAATTTAAATGATCACATATTCACTGAATGGAATACAAAAAAATAAAAGCAAGTTGTAAATGAACATGTGGTATGATCCATTCCTCTTTTTAAAAGAAGGCAGGAATAGAAGGAATAGACACAAATGTGATTATACACATTGGAAATTTCTAAAAGGATACAAAGAAACTGGTAATAGTGATTATAGAGAATAAAAATGGGGGTCAAAGAGGAGTACAATAACTTTTCATTTTCCACTCTTCCACACTGTACTTTTTTAAATCATGAGTATGAATTATCTTTATAACTTTTTTTAAATTAAACAGAGGCAAAAATGTTTTATTACAAGTCGATCCTTAGACTAAAATAGAATCCAATTTTCCTTCTATCTCCCTCTGGTGGCAAAAGCTTTCTCAGTCATATTACAAGAGCAAAGGGATATTTCATTTATCTCCGGTCATCTAGTCAAGACTAAAAACAAATTACAAACTGGGAAAAAGATATATATTGTTTTAAAATGTGAATTACATAACATTGAAAGAAATGCATGTTTAGTACTTCCAACTTGGCCCTGGTCAAATGTCATAATTATCCATTTAAGAAATTACTATTTATTGAAGTCTCACTATATACTAAGTCCGAGTTAATGTATAAAATATTGTACAAAATATGAAAACTACAGTTATTGTGAAATGCTCAGCAATAATTCTTTTTCACCTCTATATCTCATATGAAACCCACGTTACTGATGTTGGAGAGAGACTTGCTTAGAGGTTTCCTAGAAAAAGGCAGGCTTTAATGTGTATATAGTACAAGCTAACAAGCTCTTATTCTAAAGGATGAGTCCTTTGGCAGTTAGTTGTCTGCACACAGGCAATTACTGTTTTAAGAATTCCCATAGGGACACTAATCATGGAAGAGCCCTTAGTTTCTTGTAGTGCAAGTTATCCTCTCAAATGGGTAAATCATAGCCTGCCTCCTGATAGTTTTCCCCACTCTTAAGTGGTCTTTGAACCTGTCTCATCTTGGGCAGCTTTTGTTCAATTCTTTCATAAGATATCTTGTGAGGGGTAGCATATAGAAAGTGTTTTTTCCTGGAGAACAAGAAAATGAGCTGTAAACCCATGTTATACTGTTCTATTTAATCACAATAAAATTATATTGAATACAAATACATGTAGTAGCTATCATTACTCTATATTTACTTCTAGCAACCCATAGATAACTATATACTTTTATGAAACTATTCTCAATAAACTTACAAGGCCTCAAACATTCAATCTTAGTAAAGTTAATTATAGTTGTACATGTCTATTCTACACTTTTAGTTGAATTCCTCTACCCACTTCCTGTTC